CAGGGTGCAGACTCTGCCTGCTCTAAGATGTCATTGCATGTTGAACTGGAAAGTCACAGTCAATTACAGCTCATATGAGGTGGAAAGTTACCACGACAGCCCAGAAGGCAATGACTGATGTCTGTCTCCATTTCAATCTATAAAAGTGCATTAAATGAGCAATTATTAAATAGCTTTGCCAGAGCTATACATGCAGTTAATGGATGGGAAACAACCAGGCTGAAGCAAACTAAATGTTTTCTGTAGGCAACTAGATGTCTAAAAAGCAAAAAAAAAAAAAAAAAAAAAAAAAAAAAAGCATTTCTCAAACTCGTCTCTCTCTCTCTCTCTTTTTATTTTTATACATGTATGGTACAGTATGTAGTGGTAAAAAATAAAATGAAATTAAAGATAGCAAGCATTCTTTTGCGCCCACTGCATGAGTCACWGTACCTGAAGAAAAGGTGATGACACCAGGCTCTACCTTGCTCACTGCATCATCGCTGCACTTTATGTAAAGAGGAGCCCCTCTGGATGATGATACCACACACTTACAAACAATCAGCGGCAAGCACAATCTCACCAGATACGGACACTAACCCCGTCAGTTCATGTATATAGTTAGCTATGGATGAGTGCAGCCTTGTCCTTCGCTGCAGCTGAAAGTCATATGGAAATTTCAGCATCAAGCTAAATTTAAACATTTTTTTACAACATGCAATAAAAAAGCCTCATATAATACCCAAGTTCTGCTGACTCCCTGTGTGTGTTTATACTTTTGTTCAGGTCAATAAGAAAATGAATAAACCTGTTCTAGAATAAAAAAAAAAACAATAACAATTTATTTATCCATGAAAGGAAAGTCCCATAATTTTAAGGAATTGCAGCAGCAGTAGGAATGAATTCTACAGGGAAGAGGTTAAATTAGATTCTCCATCTTTGTTCTCTTGCTTGTGGCATTGTTTAATTATCAGTAATCACTGGCAAGTCGCCAGGTTAAGAATACATCTTGCTACGCTTTTAGCGGGAGGTGAATGCCGCACGTTCGCTCGTCTCAACTCCTTGAAGCGCGAGCTGGCAATCATCAGAGTTAAGAATGTATTTGGCGCTGTTTTATTAAACCATGCGAGAGCTGTTTCACATTCTGCAATACCCTGAAAGAGTGAGTGCAGGTCTGGTGCCCAGGGCTTCGTTCCAGGCAGAGACAAATCAAAACCACACAACAGTGGAAGCCTGTTGTGCGGGAGGGTTGATTTAATACCAATGTTTGCCTAAGATTGTTTTAACTCTACTTCCACACCTCGCTTTTTAAAGGCCCCGGGTCTGTTGTCTGAGTACATCCAAGTTTGCAAACAATTTGTACATTTGAAATTTCATACTTCTATTTGGCAGTTTGTATTTTAGGCTAGAGGAGAGTTAAATATTCATGATTCAACATGTGTGGCTCCAAGTGTATTATTTTTTTCTTTCCCTTCCCAAAACAACAAACACATGACATGAAATCTTTATTTGGCAGAAGCAAACAAAATTCTGAATTGATTTGACTCCACATGAGCTTCAGGAGTTAACCAGATTTGTTTGTTTCTCCTGAAATGGAACTACAGTGATATTTACTGAGCGCGCGCACACACACACACACACACAGACACGCATGCACCAATACAGGTGTGCAAACTCACAAACACGCATGCACACACATATGCTCCCAACCTTATTTGACTGAGGAGGAGACAAACCTAAAGATCGCCACAGAGACCCATCTTTCAAATTTATTCATTAAACTCCCAAATGCTCCCCTTAACGAACGTAATTAGAATATGGTAATGAGAGAGGGCTGAACCAGGGAGTGTTATAATACGCTTAGCAGCACAGAGGCAGAGACAGAGGAGGAAATAGAGGAAAGGGAGCTAGAGCAAAGAGAAATAGAGAGACTGACTGACAGGGTGCCAATTTATGTCTCGTTGTAAACAAGTATTTATGCCAATGAGAGGTGGCACACACTTTCTTTCACCCCCTCCTCCTCTCTCCGCTCCCTCTTTCTGTCTTCGGCATCTCTGACTCTCCGTCTCCTCTTAGCATATGAAGCCTCCTCAGTCAGAAAAGTATCAACAATCGCGGCGCGGAGACGAGCCTCAGAGGGCGGAATGACTCACGGGGAGATGAGGCGGGGGTTAACACAACCGCTGGAGACTCCTTCGCTCAGACACCTCCCTGCCACCTCCAGCACCACCTCACCTCTCCCCGTCTTCATCCACCTCCCACTGGCAAACTCACATTCTTCATTACACATTTCAAATATTCATCTGAGCGCCAGCGAGTGTGCGCGCCGCTCTCTAGGTTAGCGTTGCTTGAGTTTTYTGAGGACTCTCTGACAGGCTTCATCCAGTGCACCCTAGCACAGCAGGGGATCCTGGCATTGTGTTTGACACCACACACCTGTTGCCTTCTTTGATGTGTCCCCCCCCCCACCCCACACACACACACACCCCATCCTTGCTCGCTAAGAAATAAGGGGTGGGGGGGCATCTCCTCGAATGCAAATGTAAGGCAGGAGGAAGAGGACAGGTATGGAGTATGGGGGGGAGTCTTAAAAAAAGATGATTGATGTTCCCCCGGTGGATTGAGGCTGACTCTTCCTCGCTCTCAAGTCTCTGCTGAAAGAGTTTCTGCTACTTTTCTGTACTTTGAGCGTGTATCTTTGTGTTGCCACCTTCACCGTTTAGACCTTTGTAAATTGGAAGATGAGAGGAGGGAGAAAAATAAATGGGGGGTAGAAAAGAGAAGGGGAGAAAGTAAAGAGGTCAAACTAAAAGGAGAAGAAGTGAAAGAGAGGGGAGAGTGAATTTTTTATTAGGAAGCCATCTCTCATGTGGGCAGCAGCTTTCACATACACTCATCAAACACCAAGACTCTCTGGACCCGTGTGCTTGGGTCGTGTATATTCTTTGTCACATCCGTGCATTCTGTTTCGTTTTAACTTCGACACGAAGGGTGTTTTTGTCCGACACGTGTGTGTGGGGGTGAACGCAACGTGACAGAGATGAATGCGATGTCTCTTTCCTAACTAGGTGATAGTCGCTGGTCCCCACTGAAGGTCAGACCTTCCCCTCCACCGATACACAACATTTAAAGAGAGTGTCTGTGTGATTGAGCAGCCCCTGTGTTTGTTCATGCAGTGTGTGCGTCTCCAAGAGAACAAGAGGAGAGACAGACAGAGACTGGACAAGTGATGTTTTTATTTACTTTTTCTTTCTTCCCATAAGCGACTTCGTGTATCAGCGTCCCATTTGTATGCGTGCGYGCAAGTCTTTTATGGCCATGTTTGCGTGCACGTATGTCGCTTAGTGTTTGTGATGAAGTGTTTATATGATAAACACAAGGCAAGCTTGAGAGGAATTCTGATCAGGGGCTTTGCAACAGTTGTTATGGAAACAGCATTAAGCAGTTGTGTTAGCCAGTGGAGGTAATATAAGGGCTCTTGAAAGTAACACACAGTAGGGAGCGAGGCAGTTTGGGAATATAATACAAACCACATGAATTACAACAGACTGGCTTAAACTGAATTATATGGCTTAAACAGAGCTAAATAATCCCATCACTACATATTGTCTGGAAAAWTTTTAATTAGTCCAGTTTTGGAAACATGAGGCGTTGTTGGTCCAGTTCCTATTGCTTATTTTATCTTGAAAATACAGATCAGCGCTTTTGAAGTTGTAGAAACTTTATAAACATTTAATATCTTACCTGTTGCAGGTAGTGCTTTGAACAAACTCATCTTGTATAGAGTGCCTGTGACATGCATATCCTTCAAATAAAAAATATCAAAGGAAACATCTTTTTATATTTAAGAAACTTGGCATAATGCACATTATTTTATTGTTACATAACTGGCATATTTTCTTTTGGATCAGCCAAAGTGAAACAGGAAGTGGCATCAAGGGGGAACTCCTTAAAAAAAAAAACTTCATAGTTTCTGGTTATTGAAACAATTATTTTTGAACTCAGACTCTCCTTTATCTCTCTCTGAATGTGACTCAAAATAATCTGAAGTAATATCAGATTCTTCTCTATAGTCTGTGTTATTAGCTGTAGTATCAGTGTTCTATTCAGATTCAGATATTCCCCTTTGACATCACTTCCTGTTATTTCCTGTGATGTTTTAACAACTGTTCGTCTCAGAAACAGATTTCATTCATGAACATTCAGATGTCAGACGTGAATCCTCACAAGACCTTTATATTCGTAGATCAAACGTGACTTTAGAGTAAACAAACACGGCAGACGAGGAAGAAGCAATGGAGATGGTTTGTGGGCTATTTTTAACAGAAAAACAACAAAACAAAGAGACGTCTCTCATGTCCAAAAGAACTTCTGGTGAACCGTGGCAGTTATTTCATCTCCTGTATTTTGGATTCCCCTCCATGTTTTTGTCACCTCGCTTTCTGATTGGCTACATGTCACATTCAACAGGCTGTGTCCTCGTTTGTCCTTGGGGAACACCACACATGCTGGGGTACTGGGCCAAGACAAAACATCATATCCCCGATTTGAGGTCAGAGCAGTCCTGAAGTCCTTCCACACAGGTCAGAAATATCTCATAAGATTAGCTTAAGGGCTATCATGGTAATTGAAGCGTCCTTAAGATAGTGAGAAGGTCAAAATCGGGCTAAAAACTGGCACAATTATCGTGCCATGTAAACCCGGCCTAACAAGAGCACAGTTTATTTTGATCCTGGGTTTCTCACATCATAATCTTTAGTTTGTAGACTTGAGTGAACCGAGTTTGTTTTAGAGGTCAATCAGGACAAGATAAATAAACTTTACCAACAACTTAGACAAAGTGTGGAATCAGCACAAACCTRCCTCTGTTAAGTTTGATTTACTTTAGGGGTCTTTGAAAGAGAAGCACATAAAACTAGATGAGAAYATGTCAAGTGTACGCTTCATAAACACGATTGGATCAGAATAAAAAGCACAGAGCAAGCTGAAAAACAATAATAACAATAATAATCTGAGAAGCGATGGCAGCTTTAGACAGAGAGGCCCTCAACGTCAGACACCGATGGGGTCGTTCTGGGAAGGAGAGAACAAGTGAAGGTGCTTATAGGAGCAAATTACAGCATCAGCAGACCTCCCCTGGTCCTGATGCTAATGCAGTTCTTTCCCCCTACACGCACACACACACACACACACACACACACAAAAACATGCAGACATGCGCGCCCCGTAGATGAGACCTGCCATGCTCAAGGAGAGAGGCAGCTATGGATTGTGTAGTTGAAAAGGACACTTGAGTTTGTTACCTCCTGTTCTGCCAAAATAAACTGTTCAATGCCAAATGGTGTCTGTTGTGAGCCAGAGGCGGCTTTCATTGGAGGCACTTCGAATGGATGTGACAGTTCCAGTTTGAAGACAGCTCTGTTCTCCCCAGATCTCTGTCAGGGTGATGCTCATCATTAGACTTCAAACATGCACACTCGCACACGTACACACGTATCTACATATAAATATATATATATATATATAAGCCTGTGGCCACACCTGAAGAATGGAACCTCCCTGGGAAAATTCCCAGGTAAGTCTKTTGCAGTGTAGGTGACACTCCCACCCCTCTCTCAAAAGTCCCTTCCCGCCAAAGGAACTCTTCCTGAGGCCTGTGAATGTGTTTGTAATGTGTATGTGTGTGTCTGTCTGCTTTTCTGTACATGCCACCAGTTTCTCAGAGGAAGATGGTCTCAGTGATGCGTGAGTGGGAGGCTGATTTCCCCAACTGCAGCACTCGCTCCAATCTAACTTCCCACTCATGCTCTCTGCTTTGTTAGATATTTCTTAAGTAACTCTCCTCGCGCACACACCTAGAGGCAGGGGTAGGTGTGTGTGCCAGAGAAAGTGTGTGCATGCGTTTAGGATGGCCTGTTGTAATGTATTATTACGTAGACTCACACAGACGTGCAGAACGTCGGGGTTATTTGAGAAGATCCCTGAAGGAGGATGCTTTTTCCCTGCCCATGTGTYTGCCAGCACACACGCTCGCGCACACGTGCGCGCGCGCACACACACGTTCAGTCAGAGTATTCCTGAAGGGTCAGTGTGTCGCCAGGCAAGCTCACAGTGCTCCATCACTTCTTACCACTGGGACAATAACTGTGACTTCCTGAGGATCGACCTTCACCAGCTCACTTCTGTCACTCATGGACGTGTGTGTGTGTGTGTGTGTGTGTGTGTGTGTGTGTGTGTGTGTGTGTGTGTGTGTGTGTGTGTGTGTGTGAACCCTCATCTCTCTGGCTCTGGACAGATCCGTTGGACGAAGACAGCGGGCGGAGTCTCTGATCGTCATGGTAACTCCCTGCTGCAGAGTGAAACTCTGAGGATGGAGAACATCCGCCGCCACCAGGGGGGRCGGTACTACTGCAAGGCTGAGAACGGCCTGGGCTCCCCCGCCCTCCGCTCCATACGAGTCCACGTCTACTGTAAGACCACCATGAAGACCACCTCTGGTGCAGGAGGTGTTTTACTAACAGGTGTTTGTTCACCCTCCTCCTCTCCTCTCCTCTCCTCCTCTCCTCTCCTCCTCCTCAGACCTGGACCTCCCTGTGATCACGGTCCATCAGAGCGATGATGAAGCCAAGGAGCAGTTTTACTCGGAGCGGACGGTGTTTCTGCGCTGCTCCTCCACCTCCAACCCTGCGGTCCTCCTCACCTGGCTGCGAGGCAGGCAGGTGCTGTCAGAGGGCGTCGACTCCGGGGTGGAGATATACAAACCCTTCTTCACTGAGGTGAGTTGGATCAGAACCAGCACCGGTACGATCTCGCTCTGAGATGATACGGAACATTTCTGACCGTGTTTGTTGAGAGGAGGTTATTTTTAGTGGAGATGCTCGGGGACTTCAGCCTTCGGCTCATGTTCTGCTCGGGGACTTCGGCTCATGTTCTGCTGGCGGACGGTGAAAAATGGTGGCTGTTAAACAGCCAGAGATAAATTGTCCTCGCTCCTCTTCTCTGTTCACATCAGCGCTCAGAGCCTCTGAACAGAAGGCGACTCAGCACCTTCACAGCTTGATTTAGAGCCCAAACACCTCTGAAACCATCAAACTAAAACTTTTATTTCTCCTTTTTACTGAACTACTTTGACTTCCTGCAGGAGTTCAGCTGCTTTAACTCATCCTCACTTCATCAGCTGCTGTCGAGGCMAATACTGAGGACAGAAACTGTAGCTTATTGTCCTTAAAAAGAGTAAAAGAGCTGTTTCAACTGGATTAGAGAACAAACAGGAAGTTAGATTTGACATTAGTTTATAAGTAGCACAGATTAGTCCACATTAATAAAATTAAATAAGAACAAACAGATCCGATGAATCAGTTCAGCCTCTTAACAAGTTTTGTTTTATTAAATTTACTATCACACCTGTCTGTCTGAAGCAGAATAATCAGAACCAAGTCGTTTTGTGTTCCAGGGGGAAACAAAGATCTTGAAGCTGAAAAATCTTCGCCTGCAGGATTTCGCAGACTACACCTGCACGGCCTCGGTGAGGAACGTTTGTGACATAAGAGACAAGAGCGCCCTCTTCAGCCTGAGCAACAGGACAGGTGAACAAACACAAACATGGCTTTATCTTCTAATGAAACAGGTTTGATTGAAGATATTTAGGATTTTAAAACAACAGAGAAGAATTTTAAAAGCTGTCATATCTAAATGTAGTTGGGGSTTGCCATGTAATGGCAAATCCATTACTCTACACCTAGACTTTATTTCTTTATTCTTCTTCCACCACTTTTAATGCGGCTCGAACCGTAGCATGTACCCCAACAAAAGTTGAATCAAAATAACTGTCTTGGAGTGGAGAAGTGTGCTATTAAACAACTTTTTGTTTCGAATTACTCTAGTGGAGAAATTAACTAAAAACCGACCGCCACTCAAGTCCTGTTTTTTGGACATCCGGACCAGCAGAGGGCGCAGTCCTTGCTTCATGCTGTAGTGACAAGAAGCAGCCCTCACGTCATGTGACTTCTGAGATGCTCACGCTAGCACACTTGGGCAAGCCCCTTTTAAATTTCTTGAGAAATTTTCTAGTTTATTTGTTACCGTTGGTTCAGAACTGATGCAGAACCTGGACATGCTTCAGACCTCATGGTCTTTATGTCCCACTGAACCTTGTCCCGTCTGTCCATACATGACAGTCCACAGGAAGTTGTTTTCTGTCCGTTCAGTTATTTATAAAGCACCAAGTCACAACAAACTGTCTCAGGACTAAAGAAGCAGCAGGTTGTGTTGAATCTTCACCAGCCTCCATCCTGAGCAGAACATGGTGACTGTGGAGAGGAAAAACTGCCTTTAACAGGAAGAAACCACCAACAGAACCAGAACCAGGCTCAGGAATGGCTGGGTTAGAGGGACAGGAAAGAGACACAGAAGGACTGGTCCAGGTGCATTTTCCTCTGGAGGAGACAAAATCATGTTATTGATAGAAATAATTACAATAAACATGTAGAGAAGAGAGACTAAAGACAACAGCAGAGTGAGGAAATGTGCTCAGTTTGTGCTCCAGCAGTCTAAGTCTATAGCAGCAGAAATGAAGAATAATTCAGGAAACCTAAGTCTAACTATAGGATNACATTACTCTGTGTGTGTGTGTGTGTGGGTGTGTTTTAGACTGTGTGTCAGGCTGCCTTTTCAGCTGACTCCTCTGTTTCTGGCTTTTTAATGGCTCTTATGGGGCAGGCCTTTAATTGTAAGTCTCTCTCTCTCTTTCTCTCTCCATCTTAATCCTCCCATCCTTCTGTCTCTCCCGCTCCCTCGTCTCCTCTCTTCTTCTCCTCTCTCCTCCCGCCTCCCTCCGGCTGGCAGTCACTGGGGGAGCCCAAGTGCCTGGCCGGAGCTGTGGAGGCCGTATAGGATATTGACTTGCTGCGGAGTGGTTTGGGAGGAGGAGAGGTGGCTGCCTGTCACAGCTAATGAATAGATGCATAAATGAATGAGGCATTTCTGGTGTGTGCGTGCGTGTGCGTGTGTTACGGTGCCAAGCTATGTCTAAAAACGCGTCTGTGTGGCGGAATCTGAGCAGCTTTTTGTGCCACAGACAGTCAGACATTAATCGTGGCCAACTTGATTTTGATCATTATTTTCAAAGCACGCCCACACGCACTTTTATAAACACCTCTATAAATTCGAAATGAGACATTAGGGGGTTTGGAGGTGAGAATTAAACAGAGGATACTAAAAAAAACACAATCCCGTTAAGTGCCAGCACCCTCCAGCTGCTCCGTATTTTCCTCTCTCACCCCCCAACTCAAATCTTTTGTCATATCAATGTCGAGCTGGAGCGCTCTCATGCCAAACTGGGACAAACAAACACGCGTGCACACTCGGAAGGATAACAAAGAAAGGCAGTCTAGAGAGGGGGCAGATGAAGGACTGCTGGAGTGTTGATGTCGTCCTCGCTGTTGCTTTGTGCCACATTTCAAAAGCTGATTGCCTTAAGAGGATAATTTACATTTCATAGTCTTTCACAACAAGTGGGTGAGATGGGAGTCAGAGATAGACAGATAGGCAGTGATGTTTGAAGAAGGAAACCAGAGGTGAGAAAGTTCACTGAGCAAATAGAAAAGGCGGAGTTGCACGAGCGACTAAAAAGCATGAGGTAAAAACAAGAGTTGCTTTTGGATGCAATTCTTTGAGGKTTTTTTTTCGTGCGCAAGTGCATGGATGTTTTGTTTTCCCCTGCACTTGGTTGGTAAGAAACGCACCTGTATGATATGAGCCTTCTTCTTTCTTTATTGGACTCATTTGAGTGTGTAAGAAAAGGAAGAAGAAGAAGAGAAGCGTGGAGGGGAGAGCTAGGGAGATGAGAGCCGGAAGAATTAAGAATCGAGTTAGGAGCAGGTTTTATCTGATGGGAAACTGTGAAACTGCAGAGTATAAGAAAACTTTTCCTATCAGTGCACTCTTTCAGCCAGTGTAGGTCTGTGTGTGTGTGTGTATATGCATGTGTGTGTTTATGTAGCACAAGTGTGAATTCAGTAGATAGCTTTTCCTCCCTAGTGGAAGAAGACGTCCATGAGTTTGTGAGTGTGATTGGTTGTGGGCCCCGAGGGTTTGTCCTTTGTGTTTGTCTCCTGACTGGCTACGTTGTGACCAATCAGGTGCTCCAACCTCACCTTGGCAATCAGATAGTGACACACTCTCTGTGGGCATCAGCAGGTCATCTGGAAATACTTGTGTTTTATCTCCCAGCGACACATGCGCTCTGTGATGTACACACACACACACACACACACACACACACACACACACACACACACACACACACACACACAAATAAAACTGTCTTTTCTCTTTCTGTCTAGGAGATTGCTGCGTATCTCATCACCTTTGAGAAACATGATGAGTGGCTGACAACATCGCCAAAAACCAGGTGAGGAGAGAGCAGACAGTAACTTCTGCACGCACATCAATATATTTTTTATGTTCTCAAACAAACTTCCTTAGAGCATACAAACAAAACACATAAGATAAAACAAATGAACAGTATGGAAATTTGTGTTGATTATTTCTTTGTTGTACCAGTACGTCTTGGCAATAAATGTTATACCACTAGAAAGCCCGTTTGTTTCTCCTTAAATGGTGCCATATTTGTTAAAATTCATTTATTGGTTGAGCAGCAGAGTGGGTTGCACCCATACAGTTTTGCCAAATCTTTTCTGCCAATGCCAAAAAGTGTATTTTGCTATTTCTCTCGCTTATTGAACTGGATGATTGAAGTTTGCAAATAAAACAAGACATATTGGCAATWTAGCAAATTATTCATTSAACAAAAAGGTGCCTCAGCAGCATGTGGAAGAACCATACACAGCCACGCAAAGCTGGCAGCTCCCCCTCRTGTTACTGACCAGTTACCGTAGGTCCCACACTGCTGTGGGATGGCACCTCATTCTCAACTGAGTCAGCCAGTGTGGTTGTGTTGGTTACTCTGGAGTGAACAGCACAACTAAGCTGATCCCACAGCTGTTTATTCTCATTGAGGTCACACCAGCTTGAAGTTGCTTTATGGCATAGACTCCAGATCCAGTTCAGTCAAATGTGGCATGGTTGGAGCAGACCCCAACTGACTGCTGTAACGGGGTCCTGGTGCTGAAAATCTGGGTTATTAGAAGCTCAAAACAAGAAGAAGCAATGTAAGCTGTTTGGCAGTGAGGCATATTTTTCATGGGTGCAACCAACATACTGAACTCTGCTAAACCAACAAATGTATTTTTCCTAACACAAGTGGCATCATTTAAAGGGAAATAAACAGGCTTTCCAGTTGCAACAAATAAATAATGGAACAAACATAAACTTACTTACTCATTGTGCTCTAATTATTATCCTTGGTCATTATACTGTATAATGTGGATCATGATGATCTAAAATCACATGATGTTTTAGGAGCCAAAGTGTGTAAGCCTCTGAGATCAGCAGGTAATTTAAAACTAAAAGTCAAGTCAAACAAAAGGAGGACAACAGTGTGTGGGGGAGGATATCCTATTACGTTTATGAATTTAAAATTAAAAACTAGACACTTCGTCATGATTTGAAAGCATTTCTTCCTTTAAAAATATGCATCTGTCTTAAAATGGTTTTATAATTATTGGTAAACTTTTTGGACTCCATCCATACACAGTCTGACTRTGTATTTAGGRCCATTGTWACACTCCTAAGATGTTGTTCGATGAGAAAAAGGTCTGTAAGGCTTTGTGAGCCCACAAAGAAACTCAGGGTATCTTCTAAGTAAAAAGAGGTTGTTCTTACATTAGCTTATGGCTCATTAGTCCACCGTCAGGAGGAAACTAAASAACAAAATTGGCAACGCTGCAAGGAGAGAGCCACTGTTTTCCAAAAGAACACTTCTGCTTATCTGCAGTTTGCCAAAGATCCCATGGACAGGACTGTGGAATTATTATTATTTTAAAGACAGTGAGACCCAAATAGAACTTTCTAAATGTGAAACTTTATGTTGTGTGGGAAAAAAATTGCAAGTTTATTTCAATTATTGAACACGGCGAGGGTGGTGTCGTGGTATTTATCGCTTCTGAGTCAGTAMAGTAATATCACTGATGAAACAATTCTGAAATATATTGAAATAAAAAAAGAACATGCTAGAACATCTGATGTGTCTTTTCAGTCTGTGAAATCAGTCAGCAAGGCAGTGTAAGGAATGGTTATTGCATAACTTTTTCTATTAAATAATGTGGAGCAAGCAGTTTATAGGGCGAGTGTAAGAAGTGTGCAGAGAAAAGGTCTAAAAGTCCTTCATGCTGCARCACAAAACACATCAACAAATTCTGGAAATGATTTGTTGCAATAACAGTTTAAACAAAAAAGGGGGAGGGCAGTAGACACAGAAATCAAGGAATTTATCTTTTGCCTTTTTTAAATATTTGATATTCTATCATGAACCCTCAATAAATAAATAACCAACTGAGTATAATTATTTCTTCTTAGTTGTCATTTTTGCTCTTTTGAATGACTTTTAGGTGTGAAGATGGAATTATTCTTCTTGACTGTATTTATAAAGAATCCTAGTTTTCACAAACTTTCATGCAGCGTGGTACAAACACAATATTACTCTTCCAGTCAGTGACTCACAAGAGTTTCATCTCATTGAGTAAGTGCTTGTGTTTGATTAAAACATGAGTAATGTACGTCAACTGTCTCCTGTCTCTGTCCTGCTAACAGCCTCCTCTACATGTAGAGAAYGCTCAAGAACACGATTGGACTGTAAAACACCTAGTCAGCTGGAAATGGAGTATTAATGAATGTAAATGTATTAGGATAAGTGATGTATAATTCAGACATGGAGGGGATGGGGGTTAAAGGGAGGGGCATCATGTSTATAAAAGATGGGATGTGAAAAGGGATTCACATGCCAGAACTGAATATTCATTGATCTGAAAGCACCAGAAGTAGCTCTTTTCCTAGAATGGAGAGCGGATAAAGCCAAGAAAGAGAACTGAAGAAAATAGAAGAGAGAATAAAAGATTTCGGGAAAAGGGCAAGTTGAATTATTGATGAATCACCTTATTGACATTTACTTTAGTTAATACAGATGTACTCTCTCTATAAATA